AGACATAAAAACAAAAACAAAATTTATAACGACTAAAAACCACATATAACCAATATAATACAAGCAAACATATACACCATAGAATTTTGGCAAATACTCGTAACAGCGGTGTTGAAATTAAAAAACCGCACATGTAAATTTTCAAACAATATGTGAGCAACGAAGCTATGACCCCCACAAATCAAAACCTTAGTACAGCAATATTACTGAGTACAATGTGTTGAATTATGAATATCATTACATTATCTAAGGAAGGCTGAAACCAAATAGTTACATCAGTTTACAGCTGCAACACGTTTAGTTATTTTCCCATTAACCACGAGGAGTGCACAAACGTCACCCTGTGGTACACGAATCTGAACATGAGCATTTATCTTTTTAGCTTTATAATATGCTGGTAATAGTTTATTCCGTGCTTTCTGTAGACTTGGTGGCAAGTGTTCATGAATAATAAAGTTAGTTTCCTTCAATAGCGACCCTCTTCCAAGAATCTCGTCTCTGTCCTTGAGAAATACACATCGGATAACAACTGGCGGACATGGACGCTCTTTACTTGGTTTAAATAAACGGTGTAAACTGCTAAAAAGCATTTTGTCAGCAGTAGCAATTTTCAATTCCTCAATAAGTAGTTTTCGAATTTTTGCTGTTATATCCTCACCTGCTTCGTACTGCATACCACGAACAATGACATCGATTTTAACTTTTTTCCTATATTTAATATTCAACTCATCAAAAATCAGTAAAAATAAATTCCATATGAAATAACTAAAAAGGTATTTTCAGTGAAAATTAGTTCCTGCTAAAATAAAGTATTTTACAGTACTATATACATAATAAACAGACAAAGTTGCCTAAAATGAATTCCAAAATTATTTAATAAACAAGAAGTTTAACATCATTTATCAGATCTTACCAAAATTCCTGAAATACTGTTAGGCATCTCATAAGGCACAAAGTGAAACCATTTTGACCATACAACAACGAAGCCATAATTGAACACAGTGGCACAGATCAGTACCCAAAACCGCATATTAGCTGACCCCCCAAAAAATACAAAATATGAGTTTTTTAAAATGTCTCATCAGCTATTCAGTGTTTACACTTTGTGCGCCCTCAAGAAAATACTCCAAGGGCGAAAATCGTCCCTTTCCTCACTGCCCATTGAATTATTTTAATGATGGCTTGTGCATGTATTGAACTGTGACGCGCCACCTAGCTAGATCTGAAGGGACGACAACCCCCTTCATAAATAGAAAGCTGGAGAAAACACTGACTATTAATACACTTATTTGGAATGTCAAAAACAAAATAAAAATAAAGACTCTGATTTTAAAGCAGGGGAGTCGTCACCTGTGCATGCGTCAGATGGCCATAGGGTGTCATTGTTTACAAACAAGTGTCTACCCATGAGCCTTTGCATTTTTAGCATGTGTTGTTATCGCCGCTTGGGACTAAATTCCTGTGCGTGCGCATGTGACGACCCTCCCACTTTAACTATAGCGGGACACAACCACAATAGGAGAAACATATTATTCAGAAAAAGATGTGATATATAATACATACATCATGTCACACATAGGCACATCTCTTTGCTCATCAAATTTAAGATGGTGGTTATTTTAACTCAATCTAACATTTCTGATCATTGCCTAGTCTCAGCAAATATTTTTCTCTTCACCCTAAACTTTTTTTTGCAAAATCTTTCAGCCCACCCCAGTTTGGAATATACTGTTATTCTGAGAAATAACATGTGGGCATTTGGGAATATACTGTTTTGAAAAATGAGAAATAACACTTTGACAGAATAACCTCAGAGAATCACCTGTGTGATAAACACATAATGGCCAGTCTAGTTTTTATCCATCTTGAATTCTTATTCTTTATTTAACATCTAGGTTACAGTATGTTTAATGAGAGTTATGATAAAATGAAAAATAACTAGTTGTCTATTTCTTTAGCTCCGCTGTCAACTTGTCCAGCAAAGCTTATGTGAGTGATTGTCCATTGCCATCTATCCATGTCAACATTTTACTTTTTTGTCATCTGATTGTTTTGATACTTGGTGTATATGTACCTTGAGTAGACTTTTCGTAGGTCTATTCATTTTGTGATGATATCCTCAATTCTCTAATTTACCTGAATATTTTTGTCATTTTTGGTAAAAAGTTATTTTTTCTACTTTTTGTTAAAAACTGAAATTCTGATTGCATTGATATTATACATATAAGTACCTCAGTTGTACATACCTCAGATTTGTTCATTTCTTAATGATACCTTTGATTCTCTCATTTTGATGAATATTTTGAAAACCGGTTGCGTTGATATACACATAAGTTGCTCAGGTGTATATATTTTTAATTTTTGTTGAAAACCGCAAGTCTGATTCTTTGACATTATATACATGTAGGCACCTCAGATGGATCTCTCTCAGATTTTTTTTCGTAATGTTATTTCTATCTTACTGAAATGTGCATTGCTAACAGTGGAGCTACATGTATTTCAGTCGAGAAGCTGCTTGTTTTTTATATATTTCCATTATTTGGCTACAGCAGTATGTTACAATTAGATGTGATTCATGCAATAAGTAAACACAGTGAATATATTCTACAGATATTGAATGTTACAATCTCAAGCTCCAAAATGGAATCAAAAATAAAACATGAAGATTGTGTTGCAAAACCAACAAACAATAATGAAGATGATACAGGAGATCTAATCTTCACACCACGTTTATACAGACAAAGATACGATGCTGTAGTTGATATAGCAAGAAAATATCAACCAAAAAAGGTTAGTTTATGACAGAATGCTATTAGTAGCCGCACCCTGATGTTTGTGGGGGTACATGTGTATGGAAGTTCTTTTCACTAAAGTCGCAAGTGTAAATATATGGATATACCACATCATGAGTTTTGTTCTTCAGTTTGTTCACCCAGAATGCAACATGTTATCAACAATTTCTCTAGTATGTCGGTG